TGCTTATTTTTAAACAGGTAACAATGCTTATTTCTTCTAGATATTTTATTTTACGTGAGCTATCAATTGTCAGTTGTCCAGAAAAGACAATTTTTTTTTTTTTTTTTTTTTTTTTTTATTAACTTTCAAAATAGCAATCAGAACGGGTTACAATTCTATAAGCTATTGTGATATATGTAACTCAAATACAGTATTTGAGTTCAAAACAAAAATATAAATAATGATATGTAAAAATAGTTATTTAGAAAACTCCCCAGTGGGAGTTTCTAAAGTGATCATTCAAATTAAGTCAGCTGGTTGCTTTTTCTTTAGTCTTCTCACATCCGCGTTGACGAGCAGTGGAGAAATAGTAGCGTTCTTGTGCTTGTGAAGTCTGGCAAAGTGGGATGTACTTCTAGCTTTTACAACTTCTTGGACCTTTTCTATATATAAATCATTATGAATTATCTCGTTAGAAACGAACCATGGTGCATTGGTGATTAGTCTAAGAATTTTGCTCTGTTTCCTTTGAATGGCAGATATACGCGTTTTGCTGGCGCATCCCCAGAGTTCAACCCCGTAGCACCATATGGGTTTGATCACCGTTCTGTATATTAGCACCTTATTATCAAGGGACAATTTAGATTTTGGGCCTAACATCCAATATAGGGATTTTACTTTTCTCTCTAATTGTTTACATTTGTTGCTGATATGTGGAATCCAATTCAATTTTTTGTCTAGGTGCAAACCTAGATACTTTACAGTATCTGATTGAGGTATCGTTTTATCATTGATAATAACTGCCGGACACTTGTCTCTCTTTAGGGTGAAGGTGACTTGGCAAGACTTTGATTCATTAATTTTAATTCTCCACTTCTGGGCCCATGCTTCTATTTTGTTTAAATGGTGCTGTAGTTTTGTGCTAGCTATAACAGGATTAATATGGGATGTTGCTATTACTGTGTCATCAGCAAATGTACCTAACATTGCATTTTCTGATTGTGGTAAATCATGTGTAAAAATAATATAAAGGATTGGACCCAAGCAACTACCTTGTGGGACGCCGGCTTTTATGAATCGATAACTGGATAAATCTGTACCAACTTTGGTTCTGAACTGTCTTTTCTCCAAGTAGGATTGAAAGAATTTGTGATAATCGGGAACTATATTCTTGATTTTAATAAGCAATCCTTCATGCCACACCTTGTCGAAGGCCTGTTTCACGTCCAAAAAAGCTGCTGTGCAGTATTCTCCATCTTCGAAAGATTTGTGGATTTTGTTTACTAACCTATGACACTGCTGTATTGTTGAATGCATCGGCCTAAATCCATACTGATGGTCTGGAAATAGATTGTAGCGGTTAGAAATATCAGATAGTATTAGTTTTTCAAAAACTTTGGCTATATTGGACAGAAGCGAGATCGGTCTGTAAGAATCTACTAAATCAGGATTTTTCTCTGGCTTAGGAATTAATATTATTTCACACTGTTTGAGCGACATTGGCCAATAGTTCAGACGAATAATAGCGTTAATGATGTAAGTTAAAAGAACGTATCCCTTTTTTGGTAGTTCTTTCAGCATCTTTGTTGTAACTAAATCTATGCCTGGAGCCTTTCTGTTCCGCAAAGTTTGACAGCAAGAGTGTAGTTGACCCGGTGTAAACCTAGGCACACGGGATTCAGTTGTCGAATATGAAGGTTGAGGGTTGAGTACGTCAGGGCTATTGCAACTGTTAATGTTTGGTTTAAATACTGTTTCTAGGTAGTCCGCGAAGCAATCAGCTTTCTCCTTGTTACTTCTGGCCCAAGTGAATCCGTCTGAAGTTGATACTTTTATGGGGTTGTTTATTATATTCTTCCTTTTGTTGCTCCTTATAGGGCGCCAGATAGAATTATCGCTAGTGTTTAAGTTTGAAACATACCTGTCGAAGTTTTCTTGGTTAAATTCTCTTAACTTGTACTTGAGCTTGTTACTTAAATTATTTAATAAAGTTTTAGTATGAGGATCATGATATTTCTGCCAAAGCCTTCTAATTCTCCTTTTTTCAGCTATGAGATTTCTGATCTCAAAGCTGTAGGAAAAATTATTTTTACGCTCAATGATAGGAGTTGAAAATCTAGCTGCATCTTTAAGAATGTTTGTCAAATTGTCTAAAGTTTTCTCTATTTCTGTAGATGTTTTCAGCCTTATACCCAAGTCGATTTTCTGTGATAAATAGTCTCTATACAGTTCCCAGTTTGTATAACTGTTGTGTAATTGAGTCGTTGAAGAATATTTGATGGCAGTAGATCCAAGAGTTAATAACAATGGAGAATGATCTGAGGATAGATCATGGCAGTTTGTTATTGAGATATTAGAAATGCTAATACCTTTAATTATGGCAAAGTCCAACAAGTCCGGACGCTTATTTGGATCTGATGGCCAGTACGTTGGTGACCATGGTGAAATAAATGCATATTTGTTAGCTTTTATTACCTTTTCAAGCTCTCGACCTTTCGTTGTTGTGATTCTGGAACCCCATAACGTATTTTTACAATTGAAATCGCCACCGACGAGAAATCTGGGGCCAAGAGTTTTGAAAAATTCTTGCAGATGTTCAAACTTTATGTTGTGTCTTGGAGGACAATAAGTGGCGGAGATACAAATATCAAATGGTAATGCACTTACTACAATTGTGGTAGCCTGTAAGTAAGCAGTATTGAATTTAGTCGATTCATAATGTTTTATATTAGACTTAATTAGAATTGCGCTTCCAGCGTGGCAGGAACCATCGGGGTGTGGTGTGTGATAAGTTGTATAGTTAAGTATTTTAAATTTTGCGTTATCCGGAAGATGTGATTCGCTAACTAGTAAAATGTCGATATTTCTCTCTTTCAGAAAATATGTGAGTTCATACTTGTGTTGGTGAATGCCATTAGCATTCCATATTGCTATTGTGAGTGTGTTGGCCATTATTTAAGTTTATTTACAATTAATGAAAGCATGTTCATCATCATAATGTTTTGTTGGGTCATTTGCTTCATTACATCTTTGAATTCATTAATTATAGAAGTTAGTGCTGAAAGCTCTTGAGACTGGTTATTATTTACTTGAGGTTTTAATACTTGGGAATAGCTCATGTTCTGTGGATTATAAGTTGTTGGTGATGTACGTACCCTGGGAGATGACGGTAACGAATTAATGTTCTCATGGTGTTTTGGATATTGGATTCTCGTAGTGGCGGTAGTTGGCTGGTTTTGTATGGTTTGATGGTTGGATTTTCTTCTGTTTTTGTCAAGGTTGTGAAAAAATTCGCAACCTTTATAGTTTGCAGGATGTGCTCCGCCACACAAGAAGCAGCACGCTGGGGTGTCCTTGGTTTTTTTACACTTCGATGTAGGATGAGGGTCACCACATTTTACGCAGGCGTAAGGGCGATTGCAATACGTCCTTGAGTGGCCATAGAGCTGACATCTATGACACTGGATGATATCTCTTGATCTCCTTGGAGGTTCGAAGTTTACTATCTGATTCATCAATTTGTTGATCTTATAAATAGTGGAGTTGCTGGGTGCAGGTTCTAAATCAACAAAGAAAATGTTTAAGGGTTTTTTTGTTATACGATGCTTCAGGTTATTAATGCTTCTGACTTTATGTCCATATTTTTCGATAGCAACTTTAATGTCATTGACATCTGTCGTAAAATGAATATATTTGAGCACTACTCGGTACGACCTCTCAGTACTAAGTTGGTATGTGTGAAATACGACTTTACTTTCCTGCATAAACTTTACTGCATCCTTATATACATCCGGTTTGAACACATTAATCTTGATCATATTGTTGGCTAAGGTTTTTGAAATATATTGGTCTGATTTTAATACAACACTGAGTGATCTCATCATGTCCGGATAGTCGACGACGTTATAAATGTAGATTGGTGGAGGCCTCACAGTTTTAGCAACCGAGCTGTCAGGTAAACCCGTATTGTCGTTAGTGGTATTGCGTGATCTTTCGGGAGTATTATTTGATAATATACTGTATCTATTTGATAGTTGTATCTCGGTGTAACCAGTATTATCGGCGTTAACTTTACGCTTCTTATTGTTTGATGGTGAAACTACTACTTGCCACTTGTTAGGATTGACCAGAATGTAATTGTATGAACTGTCAAAACTGTCGTTGATACTCATATTAGTCTCGCTTGATATGTTGTTTAAATTTTCCAGCGTACTTGTTGATTCGTAAGATTTTTCTGACAAACATTCACTATCCATTACTGTATGATTCATTTCACTTGCATTTGTATTGTCACTATCACCGTACAATATATTCATCGCGGTAGCAACTGTATTACCGATAACACCACACGTAGTCGGATTATTGTTCGTCGATTGATCTATGACCTGTCCTCGGGTCGTACAGGTACTCGGATTAGCGTCCGGCGGTCGGACTCTGACCTGTCCACTGGTTGAACAGGTACTCGTACTAGGGTCCGGCGGTCGGCCTAAGGCCTGCCCGTAGGCCCTCGATTGCATAACTCGGATTAATATTAAACGATGTGCTCACTACGGTGTCTGGCACAAGACTGTACTACATGAAATGAAGACAAATTTAGGCAGATATCTATTTCATTGTATATCAACAATATTAATAGTCAACTAGGCCTCTTTACTAATTGTGATATTTAGGCAATGCCTCGAAAGTCTATTTTCATTTTGGATTTAAACCTTATGGTTGCTAGAGCTAGACCATGAATCATGACCACTTGCGCCTACTGTAAAATATTGTTTTTAAGAAGAATTTGAAAGATAAAACGCTTAATATGTAAAGCAAATTTATTCATAATTATTACACGTTTTAATACAAGACATAGATTGTTGTTGAAGTAATTTTAATTAAAAATTTTCAAACAAAAGTGTAGGCACGAATGAAATTTCTAATGCTTGGAGAAGCAACTCGTGAGTACACACCCGGAGAGTTTTCTTTGGCGCATCCAGCGCCCCAAGATACAATTCCCACAAGAGTTTTGTTACTGTTAACTAATGGACCGCCGCTGTCCCCCTGGCAGGAATCTTGGGCACATCTCCTTTGTACTCAGCGCATATCATGCTAAAATGTACAGACAATTAAAAATAATAAATGTTAAATTATTTAAATATTTTTATTTTGCCTTGTGGCAAACTACTTACTTATCAGTTACTGTATAACGACCTTCGTAATCTTTTTTGCATGTAGCCGTATCTATTATTGGCACCGTGACTCCTTTAAGAGTTTCAGATACGACCTCAACATCTTGCTGCAAAATAATCATATATTAATATATCATTATTATTACCTTACCTTCATTAGAATGAACTGCTTATAGTTTACCTGTAAATATCCCCATCCCGTTACAGTAACTTTTTCCCCGCGGGTAAAACGGTTTCTTGTGGAATTAAACCTATCGAACGAATTGATCCACTGTTTAAAGGCAGGAGATTGCAAAAAAACTAAGGCAGCATCGTTATTATGTGTTTTTGTATTGTAGTTTGGATGAATTATATGGAATATAATTTTATCACTGTTCCTCCATTATATACGTCGCTACTTCCAGCTCTGATTGTAACATATCGAGGATTAATCTGTCTGTAATAAAGATATAAATACTCAAAACTTTATGACAATTTGCTAACACTTCAACTCAGAATTTAACTCACTTTGGCCAACAGTGTGCAGCAGTTAAAATCCAGTCCTTAGTTAAAATCGTTCCACCGCAGAAATGTTGTGGCGGATCATATATTTGTAAAGAAACTTGCCACCCATAATCCTCAATACTTACATCCTCACCTCCGACAATGCGATTTGTTAAGGAGGTCCGGCGAAATTTACCCGGGTCTAAAATATTAGATTTGATCATTAGTTATTTTTCTTTTTACAAAGATTTGATTACAAATATTAATTTAAATGATCTCACTACAGACACTACTTTTAATTACTAATTTTTTATACTGTTCTATTTAGTAGGATTTGCTTCAAGAATAGCTATAATTTTGTACGAAAAGTAGTACTTAAGTGTACTATAAGAATTTTTAAAATTGTAATTTAAAATCTTCTACGGTTTGTGTCTGATACTTTGGTGAACATGAATTGAATACTTAGTTTTGCTGATCGATTTTTTAGAGATTTTTGTCCCCCCTCGCCCTTGGTGGTACGTCGTCACATTTAGATTTACCCCCCCCCCCTTCCCCAACAAACATCACGTGTATTTTTAGTTACGTAAAATTTTCCGAACGAAGTTTTCGAATTAATCGTTTATTTATTTACGAAGAAAACGTCAAATTTCTGTTCTTTTTTGAAAATTTTGGTAAAAAATGAATACACGTGATATCTCACTGGACCCCTCCCCCTCCCACGTGATTTTTTTTTTTTTTTTTCGTTAAACCCCCCCCCCCAAAATCAACGCTTCACGTGATTAATGGACGCCTCCTTAGTTATTTTTTTTCAGTAATACCTATATTCAAGAACTTGTAATAGGATTTATAAGCTTACAAATCGTTTTTTAACTTCCCGTAGGTAAGTTATAGTAATCGCAAAAAAATTGAAAATGAAAAATTTTTATATATCTTTACGTTT